GAGGGAGAAGCAGACTCCCCGCCGAGCAGGGAGCCCGATGCGGGACTCGATCCCGGGACTCCAGGGTCATGACCTGAGCCGAAGGCAGTCGCCTAACCGACTGAGCCACCCAGGTGCCCTAGGCATTGGAATTGTTAAGCCAGTTCTCCTGAGCAGCTAGGGTTGGGAACCCTGGTGAAGATCAGCGTTTCCTTCTCAGTCTCCTGTCCTCCTCTTGAGTCATCATGTCTTCTGTCTGGTTTGGTCATTTCCTCCTGTGCTCACACCCTACGGTAGACCATCTCAGTTGTGACAACTGAGAGCCCTCCGTGCGCTCAATTCCAGGCATCCTCTTCTCTAAACATACCTTCTGTTTTTCTTGGTCACTCCCTCTGCTCCTCCAGCATCACCCCTGCAACCCCACCAGACTGGCCGTCCATGAACCCTACCACCTTGTGTTGGCCTCCATTTCTGTCTCATGTAGCTGGACCAGTTGTCCAGGGCAGTCCAGTCTACACCTGTTGCCCTGTGTCATTTTACCCTCTTCCATTCTTAAGATATGTCCAGGGGTGGAAGAGAGGATAAGATGGGCAGTCATCCCACTTAGATTCCTGGCCAGCCATAACGCCCCCTTGCACCCCAAGCTCCCTTGCCCTGCTCTTGTTTTGCGTTATGCTCTGGCCAAACCACACACCAGTCCAAAGCCAACCTTCTGTAGTTGGATAAAAACATTTAAATGTGTTGACTGGCTTCACTTTAAATCTGTGATCATTTATGTCAGCGGGGCTCTCAACACTGCCTGGCAATCATTCTGCATTTCCATAATCTGTTTACTTCCCTACTCTCCAAAATGATTATTGCATACCACCTTCTTTGTCTGAAAACCTCCTCTCCCAGCCTTACTCTCAGCTGTTGGTCCTGGGTTCTTTTTCCCTAAAGAAACAGAAACAGAGGAGAATTTCCACACACTTGCCCCCAGCCCATGTCCTAGCAAAGGCCAGCCCCTCTCACTGGTCAGGCACGAGGCCCCTCTCTCTTATGTCATCAATATTCCTCTCTTTTCTGGACCTTTTCTGTTGGCCTCTGAATATAGTTAGACCTCCTGTTCCTGTTTTAGTATTTTATAAAATAATTTTGATCTCAGTTCTCTGTCTTCCCCTTCTCCAAACCTCTTTACCCTCACCCATTGCTCTTTCTTTCCTTTTATAGCCAAAGCATTTGATTTGTCTGTACTCGGTGCGTGTCTCTACTTTCTCTCTTCTCGTTCTCTGTGGCACCTGCTTCTTATCAGACTTTTGCCCCTGGTCCTTGTGTTAAGACCAGTAGTGATTGACATCCTGCAAAATCCAATTGTTTGTTGTCTTGTTTCACTTAGCAGGATTTAGCGCAGGTGGTCATTCCCTCCTCCCAGAAATACCTTGGTTTTCCCTTGGCTGTGGGATGCCACCTCCCTGGGCTTTCCTCCACCTCATCACAACTCCTTCTCCGCCTCCTTTGCTGGATCTTCTTCATTTCCTGACCCTGAGACATGAGATTGCCTCAGAACATAGCCCTCGGACTTCTTCTCTAGTTGGATTCCCTCCCTTGGTGATGTCTTCTAAACTCGTGAATTGAAAGCCGCTTACACACCATTAACTCCCAAATGTATATTTCTACCCCAGACTTCTTTCCAGAATGCCAGATTCAATACGCTGTTGCCTTGTTGACACGTCCACTTGTCTAACGGGCATCTCAAACTCCTGTTCAGAATGGCGCTTCTGGTCTTCTTTTGGCCTTTTCTAGCACCTTCGTTGTAGTTGTTCAGTCCAAAACCTTCATCCTCAATTCCTCATTTTTCAGATGGACTCAGAGTCTTGCTGCAGCCACGCTCCCCTGTTAGCAAGCCACCACCATCTCCTGCCTGGATTATATCACTGCCCTCCTGACTGTTCTCTTTGCTCCCGCCCATGCAGTGACAGCTGGGGCAGCCTTGTTAAAATGTCACTCAGATCATGAAACCCCTCTGCCCTAACCTTCAAAGACTTCCCATCTCACTCAAAGCAAATCCCAGAGTCCTTTTGGTAGCCTTGCATGCCCTGTGGCATCCAGCTCCCATTACCTTCTGACCTCACCTAGAACTCTCCCCAGTGCTTACTCCTCTTCATCCCCTCTGCTTTTCCCATGGTGCCTCCAACACGCCAGGCATGCCTCTGCCTTTTGGCTTTCTGCTTGCTCTTCCCTCTGCCTAGAATGCTGTTCCTCACATGGCTACGGGCTCATTCCCTCACCTTCTTGGCTCCTTGATGCCTCGTCAGGGATGCCATCCTGGCCACTCTGTCTAAAATTGTGTTGTCTCTCCCTGCCCCCATCCCCCCCGCACACTTTTTCTCCTCTTTCCCTCCTTTATTCTCTCAAACATTTGTCACCATCTAACCATACCATATATCTTACTCATTTATTTTGTTTTTCTTCCTCCACTAGCATATAAAGGGAGGGACTTCTGTGTGCTTTGTTTACTGTGGCATTCCCAGTGCCTGGAATACGGGAGGCTCTCACTAAGTACTTGTTTAATGAACGGATGGATTACCAAACTCACAGGAGAATCAGGAAAGAATGTGGGTGGCTCAATGGGACCTTAGGAATCTGTGATACTGGAGAGACACTAAAACACACATGTTCTTAATAGGTTTGGTGGAACAGCCCACAAAACCCAACATAAAAATCCTTTTATAACTAGACAGATTATAGAATTAATAATCTTATTAAAGGATAAAAAGCATGTGTTTAATTCATTTATTCATCCATTCAACAAATATTTAAGTACCTTCCAAGTGCCTGACATCGAGCAATTATAATATAGATGGCTTCTAATGTGTATATGCTTAGGGATTTCTTTTTTCACAGAGAAGCAGGGAGTAACATACTTAAACATAAAGTTAGTGTAGCCATGGACACTTGCTCAAAATGTTAAAATGGCATCTCTGTGGAAATCACTAGATGGACAGGTGTGTGTTCCAGTCACCTGACTAATAATCTGTTCTGTACTGTGACCATGATATGATTAAACAGAAAGAACCCATTTCTCCCTTGCTCTAATCTTCCAAGCAGACTTTCCCTGCCCTTTTCCCAGCAGAACCTCAGGGAGAGGATGCTCCTGGCATGGTCTAGGGCCTGACCTGGGTGTTGTGTTCAGGCGCATCTCCTCCTATTCACGAAGAGTGAGCCCTGCCTCATGTCCTTGAGGATACCAGTAGTCTCCCAGATTCCCTCACACCCATTAAATCACTTCAGACTGTTCTCCTTCATCCAACGTGGTGGTTTGTAGCCTGCTTACAGATAACACGTGATTTTCTTTCTGAGTTTCCAGATTTTCTTAAGTGCTATTGTGCAGCAATTTGCGAATAAATTCCAATTTCCTTGTCATTGTGCTTTCAGATGCATATCCATTTTCACTAGTCCTGTTGGAAATCACCTCTTTCTGGTACTTCATTCCAGATTCCGTGCTCGTGGTGAAGGCAAGGCAGCCGAAGCCTTTCTTTGCTGCAGGAAATACATTTGAAATGACTTGCAAAGTGTCTTCCAAGAATATTAAGTCACCACGCTACTCTGTTCTCATCACTGCTGAGAAGCCTGTGGGGGACCTCTCCAGTCCCAATGAAACCAAGTACATCATCTCCCTGGACCAGGATTCTGTGGTGAAGCTGGAGAATTGGACAGATGCGTCGCGGGTGGATGGCGTTGTATTGGAGAAAGTGCAGGAAGATGAATTTCGCTACCGAATGTACCAGACTCAGGTCTCGGATGCGGGGCTGTACCGTTGCATGGTGACAGCCTGGTCTCCTGTCAGGGGCAGCCTGTGGCGAGAAGCAGCCACCAGTCTCTCCAATCCTATTGAGATTGACTTCCAAACTGCAGGTGAGCCAGGAACCCTATTGAACCACAGACTGAACTAGAATGCAACCATAGGATTTTGAGCCAGTGGCTTAATTTCTCTTAAGTAGCTTTCTTTATTGAGATGTAATTCACATGCCATATAGTTTTACCGATTTAAAGGGTATCATTCAGTGGCTTCCAGTATATTCACAGAGTTCTACAACCATCACATTTGATTTGTGGAACATTTTCATTATACCTCGAAGAAATCCTGTCTCCTTTAGCTGACACCCTTCAAGTCCCAGCCCTCCAGCAACCACTCATCTACTTCCTGTCTCTATCAGCTTGCCTATTGTGGACATTTCACATTACATTAATGGAATATAATACATGGTTCTCACGTCTGTTTTGTTTCACTGTAACATAGCATTTTCTTTCTTTCTCTTTCTTTCTCTTTTTCTTTCTTTCTTTCTTTTCTTTCTTTTTTTTTTTTGTCTTTATTCTTCATTGTTGTACAGTGTTTTTGAGGATCATCCGTGTCATAGCATTTATCAGTACTTCATTCCTTTTTATGACCTAATAATACTCCACAGTGTGGAGACACTACATTTTATTTATCCATTTATCGGCTAATGGCCATTTGGGTGTTTACAGTTCTTGGACTATTAGGAATGATCCTGTGAACGTTTGTGTACAAATTTTTGTGTGCACATACTATCCTCATTTCCTTTTTTTTTAAAGATTTTATTTATTTATTTGACAGAGAGAGAGAGCACGCACAAGTAGGCAGAGCGGCAAGTAGTGGGAGAGGGAGAAGCAGCCTCTCCGCTGAGCGGGGAGCCTGACGTGGGGCTTGATCCCAGGACCCTGGGATCATGACCTGAGCCGAAGGCAGACGCTTAACCGACTGAGCCACCCAGGTGCCCCCCTCATTTCCTTTTTTAATAGATGAACCGAAACTCAGCTATTGTAGCTCCTTTAGAGAACACAGTGGAGTATAGATAAAGAGAAGAGGGCACTGGACCTCCAGAGGGGTTACATGACTCGCCACACATGCAAGGCTCAGAGCCAAGTTCATCAAGGGTCCCTAGGACTGACGGTTATGGGCACTATTTTTGGCCCGACTTATAGAGCAGTATTTCCACACAGGTGATAAGTATCCCAACCTTGTGCCTCACCTTGTTTTGGGACTGGAAAAAGATTTCCCATCAATTAGTCGAGTTGCCAGAGCTGTGGTGGTATGGATGAATATATCTGTCAACCAGCTCATTAAGAATAGTTACTGGTGGTGGTCATGTATGGCAAGGTTAATTAAAACAAGAACATTTTTGTGTCTATTCTGAATTGATTTTGTTTTTGGTTACGTAAAATGTTTTTATGCTATAAGACGGAAAGGTCAACTTTTTTTAATGGCATGGATACAGATTCTCAAATAGAAATATTTCTTATTCATCCATGTAATTCATTAAACTCCTCTGAAAGAATCTGTGTGTGTGTGTGTGTGTGTGTGTGTGTGTGTGTATGTATGAGTGTGTATTTCAGCAGGTAGATATTTAAAAGTTTTTGATCCCCCAATTTTATTTAGGATATCAAGATGAAGTATCATCATTTATGAGTTTAATATTGAATGTTTTCACTAAATCTGCCATGGATTCCAGTTAGAAATTTCTGACTGTGTAAATTTATAATCACCTGTAAAAATTCAGGTATTAATTGAATCAGCGTAATGAATACAAGATATTTGTTGAATTACATGATTACCTTTTAGAGTAAAGCTAAACTAGACCTTAAAGTTTATTTTTTTCATTAAAGTTTTTTATTAATATTCTTTTGTATTAATATAAACTTCAGTTGGGGCACCTGGATGGCTCAGTAGTTGGACGTCTGCCTTCGGCTCAGGTCATGACTCCAATCCTGGGATCGAGCCCCGCATCCGGCTCCCTGCTCGGCGGGGAGCCTGCTTCTCCCTCTCCCACTCCCCCTGCTTGTGTTCCCTCTCTCGCTGTGTCTCTCTCTGTCAAATAAATAAATAAAATCTTAAAAAAAATAAATAAACTTCAATACTGTATAATGAAATTATTTTCTAGTTTCTTCAATCTGTTAACATTTAGATTAATAAAGAGAAAATATTGATTTAAATCCTTAGATTTGGAAAGAGCAGAGAAAGTGCAGGCTTCTTTTACTGTGTATATCTGCTTGTTTGTTTTTTAATCACAGCTTCATTGAATTATAGTTAACATGTAAAATTCACCCATGTGCAGTGTACAATTGAGTGGTTTTTAGTATGTTCATGAAGTTGTGCAGCCAGTGCCACAATCTTATTCCAGAGTTGTTAACCACTCCAGAAGGAAACTCTGTACCCCTGAGTACTTACTCCCCACCCCCAGCCCCTGACAACCACTAATCTTTCTATTGCTATAGATTTGTCTCTTCTGGACATTTCACGTAAATTGAATTGTATATGTGGACTTTTGTGACTGGCTTCTTTCATTTGACATAACGTTTTCCAGGTCCATCCACATTACAACATGAGTTAGTACTTCGTGTTTTTTTATGGCTGAACAATATTCCATCATGTGGATGGACCACATTTTGTTTATCCATTCATCTGTTGACGGACATTAGGTTATTTTCACCCTTGTGGCTACTGTGAATACTGCTGACATAAACATTAGTGTACAAGTTTTGGGGATGGACATCAGAGTTCATTTCTCACCTAAGAGGGATGCTGGGTCATATGAGCTCTGTTTAACTCTGAGGAACTGCCCAAACTGTGTCCCAAAGCAGCTGCACCGTTTTATATTCCCACCAGCGATGTGTGAGGGTTCCAGGTGCACCACATCCTCACTAACCCTGTCATCCTCCATCTTTCTTATCATAGGCAACCTGGTGGGTGTGAAGCTGTACTTTATTGTAGCTTTAATTTGCATTTTCTTAATGACTGTTGATGTTAAGCATCTTTTCATGTGGTTATTGGTTGTATGTGTATCTTCTGTGGAGAAATGTCTATCCAGATTGTTTGCCCATTTTTAAATTGAGTTATTTATCTTTTCATTGTTGATTAGTCAAGTTTTTCATAGAGTCTGGAAAAAGCCCCTTAACAGATACATGGTTTAAAAATATGTTCTCCCATGGGCGCCTGGGTGGCTCAGTAGGTTGAGCATCTGCCTTCCGCTCAGGTCGTGATCCCAGGGTCCTGGGATCGAGCCCCGCATCGGGCTCCTTGCTCAGTGGGGAGCCTGCTTTTCCCTCTCCTCCCAGCTTGTGCTCTCTCTTGCTATCTCTGTCACTGTCTCTCTCTTTCTCAAATAAATAAAGAAAATCTTAAAAAAAAAAATATCTTCTCCCACTCTGTGGGTAGTTTTTTCACTTTGCTCATGGTGTCCCTTGAAGCACCCAAGCTTGTAATTTTGATGAAGTCCAATTTATTTTTCTTTTTGTTGCTTGTGTTTTTGGTGTCTTATCTAAGAAACCATTGCCTGATCCCAGGTTGTGAAGATTTATGCCTCTCTTTTCTTCTAAGGAGTTTTACAGTTTCAGCTCTTACATTTAGTGCTATGACCTGTTCTAGTTAATTTTTTAAAAGATCTTATTTATTTATTTGAGAAAGAGAGAGAGCACATGAGCCGGGTGGGATGTGGGGGGTGGGAAGTAGGGTAGGGAAGGGCAGAGGGAGATGGAGAAGCAGACTCCCTGCTGAGCAGGGAGCTGAAACAGGGCTTGGTCCCAGGACCCTGAGATCATGACCTGAGCTGAAGGCAGACGCTTAACTGAGCCACCCAGGTGCCCTGATTTTTGTGTCGCAGAGGATGGTATTCAGCTTTATTCTTTTGCATGTGAACCACCCAGCTGTTCTTACACCATTTGTTGAATAGCCTCTTCCTTCCACCTTGACTTGTCTTGGCGCACTTGTCAAGAATCATTTATCCACGAATATAAGGATTTTTATAGACTCCCAGTTCTGTTGCATTGCTCTGTATGTCTTTTCCTATACCAGGACCACATTGTTTGATTACCATAGCTTTGTAGTAAATTTTGAAATCGAGAAGTATGAGCCTTCCATCTTTGTTCTTTTTCAAGATTTTTTGGCTATCCTAGATCTCTTGCATTTCTGTATGAATTTTAGGATCACCCATTAATTTATGCAAAGATGACAGCTAGGAATTGTGTTGAATCTGTAGATCAGTTTGGAGAGCGTTGCCATTTAACAGTATTGCCTTCCAATCCATCAACATGGGACATCTTTCTGTTTATTTCGGTCGTCTTTAACTTCTGTTGGTGGTGTTTTGTAGTTGTCAGCGTACAAATCTTGAACTTCTTTTATTCAGTTTCTCCTAAGTATTTTATTTTTTGATGCCATTGTAAATTAAATTGTTCTCAATTTCCTTTTCCCTTTATTCATTGCAAGTATATAGAAACACAGCTGATTTTAATATATTGATGTTGGATTCTGCAACCTTGCTGGACTTATTATTAGTTTTAATTGTTTTTTGGTTGATTCCTTCGGGTGTTTTAAATACAATAAAACGGCATCTGTGAATAAAGGCAGTTTTACCTTTTCCTTTCCAAACTGAACACCTTCTAATTATTTTTCTTGCCTAATTGCCCTGGCTAGCACCTCTAATACAGTGTAGAATAATAGTGGCACAAGTGGACATCCTTGTCTTGTTCCTGATTCTACGGGGAAAGTTTTCAGTCTTGTACCATTAAAAATCATTGTAACTGTGGGTTTTTGTTGTTTGGGGTTTGTTTTTTTTTTTAACAGATGCCCTTTATTGAGTTGGGGAAGTTTCCCTTCATTACTGGTTTGTTGAGTGTTTCTGCCATGAAGAGATGTTGGATGTTGTCAAATGCTTTATCTGTGTCTATTGAGAGTCAGATGATTATGTGGTTTTTGTCTTTTATTTGTGTATCTGTTTTATTCTCTGTAGTTTATTCCATTTTGTTTTACATTTGTTATTTGATGTTTCTCTAGAATTGTTATGGGAAATAGGGGAGACATAAAATCTTTTGTATTTCTGGATGAGGGATGGGTATTGAATCTCTTTCTCAATTCTTTACATCTCTGCATCACAGATAAAATGACTGTAGCTTCCAGGTTGAATGAACTGGCTGAGACTTTTATTTAGTCCACGGAGTTGTCGTGGCCAGTTCACGGTTTTATTAGAAGTTGCCATCTGATCCACCCAGCACAGTGCCCTCGCCCTGAATGGCTCCCAGCAAATACTGACTTGATACTGAAGAGTCTTCACTTCCTAAAAATCAACAGCAACAGCAGAAGATACACATAACAAAGAGGTCCTTCTTGGTGTCCACCTTTCTATCCCCAGGTTCTGGGGTGCTTGCCTCTTGGTATGAGGACCGTGTTTCCCAAGGGGTGCTACTGAGTCATGAATTTCACTGACCCAAAGTGTTAGGGGGGAAAATATGGATTAAATGTTATGGTGTTCAAGATGTTGGCGTTTAAAAAAGGATAATAATAAAGTTTTTCTCCTTAATAGAAAAAACTTGAAAATACGGTAAAGTAGAAAGAAGGAAAAGAATTAGCCATAACTACCCAACACTGTTAATTTGTGTTGTTTGTCTTCCTAGAAATCTTCCCTTCCATGTTTTCTTCATGGCGGTGAGATCAGGCTGTATGTACAGTTTTGTGATCTGCTTTCCCCCCTTTAAAGGACCTTCTAAGATAAGCAGTTTTCACGTTAAAACAAATTCTAGGTAAATAACAACTTTAATGACTACACCTCCCAGAATTTAGTTAGTCATTTTACCCTATTGATGGACACACAGATGGTCTGCAGTTTTGGCTTTCACAAGAATACTGCTATTTACAGCCCTTTTTAGGGGCTGGAGTTAGAACATGGTTCTGTCAATGTTTGTATTTAAGAGCTGAGTGTGGTCCATGTACTCTCCACAGACTAGGAATCGGGGGACATCTAGTGACTCTGGTTCACTTAAATTCTCTGGGCCATAGTCTGTCATCCATGAAGTTAACCAGACAAATTCCCTCGCGAAAACAGCATTATCACAGAAATTGACCATAATAAAAATATTTCCAAGCCTGGGATAATGACCCACATTAACAGTGAGTTGTTCATTAGAAGGAAATCCACTGCTGTGAATATTTTACAATGAAGGCCTTCTCCCTGGCCCATGTCCGCATGGTGAGCTGTAGGACAAATGCTCTGTTGTTCCCACAGCCATAGCCACTAGAGAAAATGAGAACCATAACTTGTGACCTAGAAGGCATTTGGGGTTTTCTTTGGAAATATAAAGAAAAGAAAGTGAAATGTGTCCAAATTGGTAAGTCTTTTCTGTGCGGTTTCAGATTTAGGAACCTAAATCCATTTTGAGGGTCTTTATGTTTTATCATTTTGTGGTTTCTTAGAACGGCTTCAGACACTTGAAGAAAACTTCCCTTGGTGTAGCTCTGTTTATTACCATGAAATTTCTAGTCAGAGAAAACAACGTGGTCCTCACTGCTCACCTGGGTTTATAGTAACCTGTACTCCCAGGGGGCCATATGTGGTATGAAGTGCTCCTCGGTCATGAACACTGGGCCAGGTCAGAGCCACTGGCTCAATCCTGTCCTGCCTCACTCCAATAAGCAGAGCAAATCCAGGGTGGTCGGGACCTGTGGGAACTGTGGCTGGGAGAGAGGTTGGTTGAAGGGCAGGCTCCCTGCAGGTAGGTCAGGTTTCCTCATCCTCTCTGCTTTCCTCCCTTTCCCGATGCCCCATGACCACCATTCTGTTACGTTCTCCCCTGCACCCGGAGTTGATGCCCTCCTCCTGCTCTCTGGTTAATCTGAACTCTCACCGCAACCTGCTCAGGGCTGCCCCACCTCCCTGGGTTGCCATCTCCTCCACCCGCCCTTCACCTTTCTCCCAACAGAACACCGGCTGCTCCTGTTCTCGGTTTGAGGAAAGCAGTCCGATGAGTTTATCCTCGCACTCATGGTGAAGATACAGCCTTTTTAGTTCTTTGCCTTATCGGTTCTTCGTGACTTGCCTCATTGGTTTGCGTGACCTTTACACACTTTCTCAGTTTTTTTTTTTTTTTGTACGTTAAAGTACTTTTTCCTTTTTGGTGATCTGATTTAAAATGTAGTAGCACTTGTATTCTTAGCTTCTAATGAGTTTCAGAATCAGTGTCCAGGGCCATCTCTTTTTGCTTCCCAGGAAACCCAGGGGAAATCCCATGGCACTGGTATTCTGGAACCTTCCTCAGGCTTGCCTGTTCTTATTAGGATAAGGTAAATATTGGGCTCTTAGGATCAGGTTGACTTAAAAGCTGTGCAATGCTGTCACCTGAAACTGAGGAATAAAGAGTTTAAAAAGAAAAAAAAAAAGAATGTACGTAGCCCCTCTCTCTAAGAAGCGACTAGGAGCCAGATTCCTTCCATGCAAGGCATACTTTTTTTTTAATTTAATAAATCCCTTATTTGTTAGTTATCAAATAGCATAATAATAATTGTACCTACAGTCACTTGAAGATGCACCTAGTTGACTCTATGATAAATATTATTTTAACACTAAATTCTGTGTGTTCAGTTGTTATACCTCATAGTTTGTTGCTCATTTTTATGCTCACAACTAAAAGTGGGAGCATCTCTGCCTTGCACAGTTAGTTCATTTTGGGTAGACACATCTTTTGGCCTCTGGAAGAAGGAAAGAGTCTTTTTTAAAGCAAACAATATCAAGGGGGTGTTCTCAGGAAGGGGTGCGGGTCTGGGTAGTGTTCTGAAGCTATGCCTGTGCTGCCTCAATTTCTCCTGACAGATTGGAGCTGTCAGGTGCTGACAGTGCTCCCACTGTCCCCTACAGAGTGTCATCATGGTTGACATGTCTGTCTGCTGACTGCATTTCAGCCTCCTAATGGCAGAGCCCCTGTCCCCAGCACAGCGAGGCCGCCCACTCCATCGGGGCCAGAAGTGTCGCCAATTCAGTCCCATGCCCTCTGCTCTCCTGCCACCTCGGCCTGGAAGTGAACCACACAGAACCAGAAGAGGCACCCGGGTTGCAGGTGGGGGTGGCCTTCCAAGGGGACCGTGGTTGTCATCAGAGAAGGGATAAAGGAAAAGCCAGAAGCAAAGGTCATTCTGTAGGAAGAGTTCTTTTGTGTTTGTAATTCAGATGGTGCTCGTTTGGCTGTGCCTGATGCACGTGTCTCTCTGAAGAGAAAGGAACGCAGCCTGAGAACACCACCTCGCCCACTTCCAAGGAAGGTCGGCTGCACGTAGATGCCCATGAGAGCGTCAGGAATGGAACTGAAACAAAAGCGTGAGCAGGAATAATGAGGTGCTGTCACTCTTTTCCAGGGCCTATATTTAATGCCTCCGTGCATTCGGACACACCGTCGGTTATCCGGGGAGATCTGATCAGATTGTTTTGCATCATCACTGTTGAAGGAGCAGCACTGGATCCAGGTATTTCTCTCTGTCCTCTCTCCTTGCCCATGTCGCTTTCTATAAATTCCCCTCATGTCATCCACACTGTGTGACACAGACGTGGAGGTCAGGGATTGGACTGTCTAAATCCCCAAACTGCCTCGCTCTGTACTTGGTACTCAGTAGGTGTTTAATAAATCCTTGTTGATGGATGCATCTGTCTGTTAGATGATTTGGAAACCCATCCAGACATTGGAATCTGAGTCATCAAGGCGGTCAGTGGGACTCTTCCAGGGCTGATTCAAGCTCAAGCTGGTTTGAAACCTACCAGTAGAGTCTAGCTCCTTTACTTTATGTTTCATTGCATTGATTCATTCAGATATTTATTGAGCTTCTTCTAGTAACAGGTACTGGGAACAGAGGAGGGACCAAAGGCTCCACATCATGGAGCTTGCAACCTGGTAAGGAGACAGACAAGAAAGCAATCCTCATGTAATATGGTATCAGATGGCGTTAACTCTATGGTGAAGGACAGAGCAGAGTAAATGAGTAGCAAGTGACCAGGTGGTGCTATTGTAGTTTAAATTCTTGGGAAATCTTTGTAAATCTTTTCTTTGCAAAAATTATTAGCATTGCCAACGGGCCTAAGAGCTTTGGGACATCAATCTTAACACCTTTTCTTCAGTGACCAGTTGGTGTCCCTGCCTCACTCGGAGACCCCCGGGGTTTGAGAGAACATTAAAGGCACATAAGGTGTCTGTTGCTGAGCAGGACGGTACCCACCACCACCTTCTCCTAGAGAGACTGCGGAGAACCTGCTTCACTGCATGATAACAGCCACCTACGGCTTCTGTAATTACCCTGGAGGAACAGGGAGCTGCGCTCTCTCCCACACACTTTGTCTCTGAGCATCTTTGTACCTCCCACCCCATCACAGGCAGAGCCCGGGCCTCTCACCGATCGGCGCCTTGAAAAGGCCAAAGTGTACAAGGCTCTCAACATTCTCTGCAGAGACCACTGGGCGTGTGGCCCTGGCGTGGAAACTGGAAGCGGGTTTTCATTCCGTAGTAAGGGCAGGTTGTAAGCAAAGGGAGGATGGCCCGCAGTGAACCAGAGTGGACAGCATGAGCAGGGGACTGGGCAGAGCTGGCCTCGAGGAGCAGTGGCCTGGGTGGCCACCAGCTGAGATCTAGCTCCTTCGGGACCGCCGGTCAAAGGTGCGGGTAGTCACCAGCTCCGGGTCGGCAGTTACTCCGGTAGGAAGTCTTTTTGGCCTCGTGGGCCAGATGGTCTGCACAGCAACTGCTCGGCTCTGTTGCGGTTGGTGTGAAAGTAGCCGTAGACAGCACGTAAGCAAATGGGCTTGACTGTGTTCCAGTGAAGCTTTATTGACAAAACACAGGCGGTGGGCTGGATTAGGCTACCGACCCCTGGATGAGCTGATGGATACCAAATTGGCTCTCTCAGGGAGCCTGAACATGGCTGAGCTGCAGAGGTAGGAAAAAGAAGGTCGAAGAAAAGGAAAAGGAATCCATCCAAGCCACTGGTTGGTGAGCTGTGTTCTCAAGGGCACGGGGTAGGGAGCCCAGGTCTTGAGGAAGCTGAGGTGCAGAGGATCGGGGACAGGGAGTGGGATTCAGAAGTGAAAACAAAAGTGAAAGTTGAAGGGGCTGCCAGGACACAGGGGAGGGAGTCCCGTTCAGAAGTCGGTGCCATGTTTACCCTCGAAGCTCATGGATGATATATATACCAAAATAAATCATTTAGATGTTCTTTCTCAGTAAATTAATGGGTCACCAGTTGTGCCCTTAATATAAAAGTCTTTTCTTCCAGGGTAATTACAGAAGCTATAGGTGGCTGTTATGATGCAGATCACAGTTTTCCAGAACTTTGCACTCTTGGACTGTGTGGGTAGAAGATTCTGAATAATTAAGCACACGCTGTAATTTAGTTTTTCCTCACGCACCCGATGGGCTGTGAAGGAATTTTCTTTTGGAAAGGACATACCGCGTAAGTGGGCCTAGTGCCAAGGTGCTCCCGTGCCCAGAGGGGGACGGACAGGGCAGATCACTGCCCTTTAGAGGCAGGTTCTCTAGAAGCAAAGCCTGAGACAAGCGTGCAAGTGATTGAGGATGTGCTCCCAGGGAGCAAGGGAGTCAAGACAGAGCAGGGAAAGAAGCCAGGCAAAGATGTGAATTCAGAACAAGTCTGACTCCCCCCCCCAACACACACACACACACACACACCCACACACCCACACACCCGGGGAGCTCTGGCGCGTGGGTGGTACCACAGGGTACGGCCTCCGTGAGCTAAGGCACTAGGCTTTTAGCTCCCCGCCATTCCTCAGTCACTGTCCACAGTCCGAATGCTTGGGGAGCAAGGGTGTTTCTAAACCTCCAGGAGGTGGCTTCCGTCAGCTGAAGCCAGTCCTCTGGAAGAGGGTACGGGTGTGAGAATGTTAGGGGCACCAAGGGCCTCTGCTGCCGGCGGTAAGGCCCTCCCTGTGGCAGCATCTGTTCGTAGACTGTGTATGTTGTAGTGTAGAGATAAGGGTGTTCACGGCGGGCAGGCAGTGAGTACTTACTGTGTACCAGGCAGGTGCAGTTGTAAGCATTTCGCAGAGATGACTAACTTAACCACGGGCGAAGTTGGAATGTTCCTTCTACAGCTGAGGAACCTAAGTCACAGAGAGTTAAGTTGCTCGTCCAGGCCACATGGCTAGCCAGTACTGGTGCCGGGAGTCTGGCGCGGTAGCCTGGAGCTCCATGAGGCATGGCGGGACTGGGGCTAGAATCTGCACCCAAGTAGTGGGGACACAGTCGTGACTTCTCGCCTTCAGGATCCTCCTAGCCCCTGCAGGTGACGGCAGCACAGCGTGAGGCTGTGAGGGCATGAGGGCGTTGACAGCACTCCCGCTGCCCCCAGGGAGGTGGTCTTCTTGGTACGAGATGACCCCTAACACTGGCAAAAATCAGATTTTCTGCCCAAGTGCCACAGTGGGCCGATGGGGTGGAAAAGAAGGTACTTTGAGCGTTGGAGTGGAGAGCAGTCATCCTGTAGGTGGGACTGAGGTTTGCCCTGGCCCTTAATATGTTCAGAGTGAGTTGGAAAGGAATCATCATTTGGATAATTTTGTAGAAAGTCTTGCTTTTTGTTTTGCTTCTCTTTCTTTTCAGTACGTAAGCACCTGAATATGATTTGTGTAATCATATTACAGCACTTAAGATAGTGCTTTTTGAGGTTATTAGTGTATTTTCATGAAGTGAATAAATGTTATTTTTTGTGTAACAAAAATGGTGTCGTTTAACATTTATATAGAAAGCCTTATCAGGTGAATTTAAGATAAAAGGTGTGTGTGGCCTTGCAATCCTTCTTGGCCTGCTGAATGCACCCCGGGCCCGACACAGCTGGTGTCAGTAGGGAATGGGCCAGAAGATGAGGTCAGGGGCTTATGATGTGTGCTCCGTCTTCAACGTGCCAGAGTCTTCCTTCTCCTATGCCCATGTTCATTTGTTTGAGGCTGTTAGAACCGTGACTTTGCAAAGTGCTTTGAGATTCAGCAGCATCCTCTCTCGGACTGTTCAGCTGTGTTCCACTTTCTCAGCTGGACGTGTTTTTTCCTCTTGTCTTGAACTTAAGCACATCTGCAAGGGAAAAAACACAGTGAACAATAAAACCTAAACTGTTGGGACGCCTGCGTGGCTCAGTCGTTAAGCGTCTGCCTTCAGCTCAGGTCATGATCCCAGGGTCCTGGGATCGAGTCCCGCATCGGGCTCCCTGCTCCGGGGAGCCTGCTTCTCCCTCTCCCTCTGCCTGCCACTCCCCCTGCTTTTGCTCTCTCTCTCTCTGACAAATAAATAAATAAAATCTACAAAAAACAAAACAAAACAAAAAAGCCCTAAACTATTTACCACTCTAAATTTTGTACGGTTCACTTTACATACATTTTGTTCTTGACTACATTGGTGTCCTCCTGGTCTTGGGCTCGTCCGCCTGACATGTCAGAGGACCCTGCTTTGGCAAACAGAGCATGCAGCGTCACCACCTAGCAGCTTTACGTCCTGTGTTCCCTGTGGGAGACAGTGTTGGGTGCTCCTGAGGTTGGGTGGTGGTGGCGGTGTGGTTAAGAGGGAGGACTCTGGAGCTACACTCTGTGGGTGAAGCCGCATGCTGTGCTGCTCCCGGCTCTGTGACTTGGAATGAGGTATTGGGCCCTGCCACAGAGGCGGGGAGTGTGACAGTACCTCCATTGTGGGGCTGGCCTAAGGCACGGCAAGCCGCGCTGGCCCCCAGTGACGTGACGTGCGTGTTAGCCCCACGTGCGATTTCTGCCCGTTGCACTGACCCAGGGTTCCGGCTTGGTCTGTCATCCACAGACGACATGGCCTTTGATGTGTCCTGGTTTGCGGTGCACTCCTTCGGTCTGGACAAGGCTCCCGTCCTCCTGTCTTCCCTGGACCGGAAGGGGATTGTGACCACGGCCGAGAGGGACCAGAAGAGCGAGCTCAGCCTGGAGCGCGTGAGCGTGCTGGAATTCTTGCTGCAAGTCCACAGCTCCGAGGACCAGGACTTTGGCAACTACTACTGCTCCGTGACTCCGTGGGTCAAGTCCCCGACAGGTTCCTGGCAGAAGGAGGCCGAGATCTACTCCAAGCCCATCTTTGTAACTGTGAAGATGGATGGTAAGACCGACACGTGGTGAAGTCTCTGTGCTGCGCCGCAGCTGACAGGCTCAGGTGGCCACCGTTTGAGACTGTGCTCTCTCCAGACCTGGCCCAGGCCCGCAGCTGTTTCCCCAGGAGTGGTACTGTGCGCCGGAGGCACCACTGGGAAACGATTTTTAAGACTTCCTGGAGAGATTTCTGCTGCTTTCTGTAAATTCCGTGCAAACCCACTTCCCTTGTCATAGGGTTGGCATGGACTCTGCCGGGCAGAGGCAGAGAACATCATCGAGAGAGTGGGTTCAGGTCCTCAGCGGAGGCAGTTAGTGGGTTCCTGCCACTCCTGCCCTCCTCCTGGTTTTCTTCTTGGAAAAGGGAGGCTCTGCCTGGTTTCGTTAGCATAGAGGGGGTTCTCTCCGGAACCCTGAGATGGGAAGGGGGCTCCCTGCTTCGTTAGCCCACACTGCCGCCAGAGTCATTCTAACTAGGTGGTCAGAGGGCCCCCTTCGCACCCCTCTGCTCCCCGAGCATCCCAGAGTGGGGGCACTTGGTCCTTGGCTAGTGAGAAACCCATCTTCTCTGCATAAAGCTTCAGACTAAATGTTAACGGGGAGATTCCATGGAGAGCATTAAAGCCCCAGCACCTCCGAGGGTTAGGAGGGGCCTTGGAGTGTGTTTCCCTGATGGGATGTCAGTTTGGGAGAGACTGGAATTGGAACCCCAGCTTGTCCACAGATGACTTAGCCTTTGTGGTCCTTGGTTTCTTCTCTTCTGCAATGGGGTACCTGTCTTTCGTCGGGCTGCTCTGAAAGGTGAGCCACGTGAAATGTCAGGCAGCAGCCAGCATGCCAGCATCCGCCCAAGGAGTGCTGGTGCTTCTGGGCGAAGAGACTCGGGATTTGAATGTGTGCGATCTGTACGGTGTTTGTGCATTCCTGAAACTTCGTCATTTAAACCCTATTTGCATCTTAGAAATTCCTTGCTTGCAGTAGCTCCATATGAAAACCCAGATTTCCCGAACAAGGGAGCGATTATTCACTTTGCTAGATAATTTACTATAGTGTTACTTAAAATAGCTCCCCGAGTACACTTCAGTTATTTGATGCATAGAATTGATTTATGAACCGTTTTTTTAAGGATGCATCTGCTGCTGAATGCGCGGTGCCCTTATCCTGACTTTTAAAAATCCATCTCCTGCCAAAACCCTAAAAAGCAAGTTGACATTCAGAGACATCAAATGAATTTTTTTTCCTGGTTTTTTTGTTTCTCCCCCACAGAACTGGGTGGGGTGTGATCTACTCACTTTGTGCACACACAGATAAGAGTGCTCGTGTCTCGAGAGCGCTGTGCTAGATGCTGGATACAGCTCAAGCCCTCTGGGGCGGGGGTGGGGGGGTTACCTCTCCTGGGGAGGGGAGGGGAGGCCAGGAGGTGGGCTTCCCGTGGCCGCCTCCTGCACCACTCACCCGGCATCCCTTTGTTCCCTTCCTCCCAGTGCTGAACGCCTTCAAGTACCCGCTGCTGATCGGCGTGGGCCTGTCCACCGTCATCGGGCTCCTGTCCTGCCTCATCGGCTACTGCAGCTCGCACTGGTGCTGCAAGAAGGAGGTCCAGGAGACAAGGCGCGAGCGCCGCCGGCTCATGTCCATGGAGATGGACTAGGGCCCCGCCGGGGAGCGGCCACCAGGGCGGTGCAGGAGCGATTTGGGCGGGAAGAGGGCAGCGAGCTTTTCACGCGCAGTGTGTGACACTAAAAACCAGTCCTCTCTCATCTCAGGTGGGACCTGGCGCGCTCTCTTCTCTGCATGTCCAGTCCTGAGCGCGGACACGTTTACCAGCACACGGCTCTCCTTCCCACGGCACTTTCTGGTAGAACAATCGCGTGTGTGTGTGTTTCCAGCTGCGGCTTTTTAATGGTTACCCCTTCGTCTAATTTTTTTTCTCCTGCCGGTTGATAGATCTCTGACCTGTGTGTGTTCATATGTTTGGTTTCGAGGGGTTGCGGGGAGGAGGGACGATGGCTCTCAGAGTTCTTGGTCTCGGGGGGTGGGGGGGGACGGACGGAGCTGCCCGCCAGGGGCCGGCTTCCGCGTGGGGGGCCCGTGTGAGGAGAGCTGCCAGTGCAGCCCTCTGCCCCACCCTGACCTGTGCCGAAGGCTGACTGGTGGCTTTTACCACCCTACCCACCCCGGATTTTCAGGGGTTTAGACGACATTTGAAATCTAAACTTGCAGTATGTAACTTCTTACTGAGCCCAAATGCTTTTCTTTTTTTCCTTTTTTTTTTTTTTTTTTTTTTTAATGCTTCTCTGCCCCCTTTCCATTTCCTTTGTATTTGCTTTTATGTGAGCGTGCTGACATGGCCCTGGAATCTAGAATTTGGCTCTCCACCAAGCACCTTATCTTGCCACCTTAGCCTTAAGAATGAATATGAATATGAAGAAAAATACACAGCCACCTCTGTCCAGAGCAGTACGAAGGTCCTCAAGGAAGAGGATGGGGACGAGGGAAGGAGAAGGCACTCGCTCCAGTGGTTCCGAGGCCACCGCGCCTCGGGGGGCCCCCGGAAGTGTGAAAGGGGGTCCTGAGAGTTAGATGCCCGCAGCTCATGCCAGGAGGGGCGCGCTGGTGCCGGGGCTATGTCTGGAGGAGGGAGCCACCACCGCCCCCCGCTCCTGCCCTTTGTGGGTGGCGAAGGCCTTGGCCACCAAGGGACTGCCAGTGGCACCCACGGATGCCCCGCGTCCTTCACGGGCTGTTTGGGCTCCTTCACGTGAAGGTGTATTGCTGCTTGCAAGACTGTCTGACTTCACAGAATCAGGAATTGCCTGGAAGAAAACCATGCATTTTCCATGACCTTTTCAGTCCTTCAAGTCTTTGTAAGATCCCCTGCAGGGGGTTAGCGAGAAAGGGTATGCTTTGTGATATGTTTGCTTTCCTGTTAGGCACACGGAGGAAACCAGCAATTTACTGCTGTGTGAACAGCCTACAAAGTAGATCTGAGAGCAATCTGTTTTGCCCGATTGCTCGTACCCAGAGTAGGACACGGACCAAAAGAGATCCTCTGCTCCCTGAGGCGTCTGCCCCTGCACAGCACTGGCCTTTCGGAAGCGTCCCAGTGGGGTTTTCTGAGGCTCACTGGTGACTCATGCCCTGCATTGCAATCCTCTGTGCTTTTATCCTGGCTCTGACGAATCTAACACTGCTCTGTCTTCCGAACGGAAAAAAGATTCGTTTGTTTTGAGCAATAAAGTCATACAAAATGATGGCCATTCATGTGCAGCTCTTTGTCACAATGGGCCGGACGAGCCACACTCTCCCTCGGCTCACCATCGTCCCCTCCACTTCCCTCACTGTGCTGCCCACAATCCCTTCTGCCCTTGTCACCGAGTCTCCCCTCCCACTCCCCGGGGGGCGGGGGGTGCAGATTGCCACCCAGCTTCCCCTTTTTGTTCTGCCCACACAGGGGACCCCTCGTGGTAGACACCATGCTAACGGTAGCAGCACAGATGAGTTCCCAGCCCAGCGTCTGCCCCACTGGAGCATGGGCGACCGGAGGAAGAGGGGGAGGCCTTGATAGCTCTAGATTCGGGTCTTTTCTACCCATCGTTTGTGGACTCTGCGATTTCAGAGGAGGTGGGTGACAGGTGATTGTAGATAGGGAATTAAAGAGAGACCACATATTCACAGGTGCTATTAGTGACACCCGTGCCCTTCGGGCCCACATGGTTATCACTCCTAAAAGAGGATTCAGGATTGTTGTAGTGCAGGCCCTTCTTGGTAGAGGAAAGGGTACTTAGCTGTACGTGTGACCAGGTGGCCCCAGGTTGACGTGAGACCAGGGAGGGGTCATAGCAGACACTCGGCAGGAGAAGTAACATGTGCTCACGCTGTACCTTCTCCTTTCGAACTCCGTTGTAGCTCAAGGCTGGGGGTGTTCAGGCATTGACCCCAACCCCACCCTCTGATCATTGGGCCCTACTGCAAGTCGCCTAGAGGGGCTGGTCCAGAGGAGGAAGAAATCCCAGGGTCTTGTCCCAGGGACCACATGCCTTCCAGAGACAGAAACTGGCCTGGAATGTGTGTCCTTTTAAAAGTGTGAGATACACTCTTCAGCTGTACCAAATAGGGCTCCCCACACAGTGCTCTTCTGGAAGGGGTTCCTGCCGGAAGCACTCATACGAGTGGAAGAAGAACCTAGCCACAATTCACCCAGATGAAATTGCACTTCTTAACAAAAAGAAACTTTATCAAAAGTTTGGGTTTTTTTTCTAGTCACAAAAATATCCCCAGAAAGAGCCTGAGCTATGTTCAGATAGAAGCCTCGAAATTACTTTAAATTGTTTACTTTGTAATGTTTACATACACTTTTCACTTTTTAAAAAAAGAAAAAAGAAAAAAATGCAAACTCTGACTTTTTAACAACTTTTCAGATTTTTTCCATGGGACGGTGGAACCCTGACTCACCAACTGGACTTAAATCTTAATTTAGGCATTTATTTATTTGTGTGCTTTTTCTCCCCCTCCCTGCCCATGTGGCTTTCCCCCAAGATCCTGGCAAAGGACGCCCCTCCTGCCCAGACCCTTGTCTGTTTTCCCCGGCGGCTCTTGCTTCTTGTTTTGCAGACTGCCTGCAGCCATGATTTTGTCACTGACATCTGTGAGCCAAAGACTGAGCCTTTTTGGCAGGAATAATAAGCAATACTACACAACTTGCTACTTTCAGAAAACTTTTTTTTTTTTTTAGCCTCACCGATGACAACAGAGGAAGAAGGGAACTAGGATTTGGGTAAGTTCTCTGTTGTTTGAGCAAATTCTCAGTGATAAATATTGTGTGCAGATCACTAGGAGAAAAAAAGGTGACTTTCTGTCTGTCTGAGCGTGGCACATAAGGATCTGCCGGATTTTACGTAGACAAAGAAAGGGTCTTGTGTATTTTTGTCCATATCCGATGTTATACGAACCAATTGTATTGTTTTATACTGTGACCACAAATATTATGCAATGCACCGTTTGTTTTTTATTTCATTAAAGGAAGTTTAATTTAAATTGAAGTTGTGTGAGGAACTTGATCTTGGTCTCCTTGCCCTTTCATCTCTGTGTGAGGGGCTGTGGCTGAATTTCCAGGGGCACCTCCAGCACCTTCCAGGCTCTCTGAATGCTGTGATAGCACTAGAGGTCTTCCCCCGAGATAAAAGAAGTGGGTTTAACAGGATCCGCACTGGATCCCCGCCAGGCGGAAGGCTGAGGGCCAGGGTCCTGTTGCCTAGCAAGGTCCCCTGGTTCTTTGGTGAATTCTCATGACCTTTCGGGTCTCTTGTCATGAAAGGGGGAAGTTAGATGTTGTTCCTGTCTGTAGATGAGGAAACAAACACAAGGTTCTGTGACCGTATCGTGACAAGCACAACGGCGCTTCTGACTCATGACCCAGTCTGGAGCCAAACCGGTCCAGAAGGTGCCAGCCCCTGTGATGTAAAAACGGTGCTCCTTCCCACGCCGCCGGCTTCTGGAGCCCAGACTGGGGAGAACGCCGAGAACCCCGACTCCCTGCTGCCCTCCCGCCCCCCCCCCCTGCGGGGCCCCGTGTGTGTCCTGGGCAGGGAGCATCTCTCATGGTGAGGTCTTCAGGGGCTGGGGCTGTGTCCTAGTTCCTAACCTGGCCGAGGGATTGGCAGTTGCGGACATGTAGAAGGTACACGCAGTCTGTCAATGCACAATTAGTGCTCTGCTGTGGGAAATGGCCCATCACTGTTCCTGCCTCGGTTTAAATTAAAAACAAATCGAAAATTTGCTTACACAACCTACTGTGAGCCTCGGCATTGGGCTGATCAGCACAGGGAACTTGCCGCTTAATTAGGCGTCTACAGGCCGTGGCACATACTGTTTGCTTAGATACCTCTTCCTGCATGTCTAGCTCGTACTTCTCCTTCAGGGCCCAGGAAGCCTTTTCTGCCCCTCTAGGCTAGGCATGGGTCCCCTGACAAATGCTCTGGGAGCCTCAAAGTGGCGTGAGGGCAGGGACCATTGCCTGCCATGCCCCGCCCCCGCCCCCACCCCCACCCCCACCCCAGGGCCTAATTACGGCAAGAGCTAACACCGGGATTAATACAACATGCCATGGGGCGGGTTCAGTGCCTCAAGTCATCCCAGGGTGGCTCCAGCAGAGGCTCTCTTAACTGCTCTCCATGTAGCTGGATCTTCCAGAGAGAAGCTACTCATCTCCTCAGACCCACAGCCCAGTGCGTGTGGCACCCTGTTTTTTAAAATACAGGTTTTGTTAGTAGGTAATACAGGGATAGCAGAACAAGAGATGACTGCCACTGAAAAGATACTGTGTTCTCACAGATCCCAAGAGGAGGGGGCACACCATGCCACAGTCTGGGAGGCCACACGGGGCAGGCGAGGGGCCATTGGGAGGCAGAGGGAGGGAGAAGCATGGGCAACAGCCTTTATTGTGGTTTTCACGGGAAGAACAGGCAAGTCAGGGTCCACAGGCTTAGGGATGATTCGTTGGGATCATTTCAGTGGGCTGTGGGGTGCAGGGGTTGTCCCTAGTTTTCTGGGACCTGGTCCTGGGGTGAGCAGGGCAGGGGATAGTGGTCCTGAGTGGGAGCACCAGGGGGAGAAGGTAGCAGGGATGCGGGCTCTGGATCGGTGGCTTTGTACGTGGAAGGCAGGCTCACGATGAATCAGTTCCTCTCTAGGAACTGGCTGGCTCCGGGAGGAGCAGTCCCTGGGATCAGTGAGGCCCTAGATAGCAAAGCCTCAGAAAACAATACAGAATGGCATGATTAATACGCTCGCCCCCTGAGGCGTGCCGACTGCTCGGGCACACCTGAGCTCCACCCGCCGAGCTGGTGTTCGCCTGAGTCCTCTCTGTGTATTTGCCGCCAGGGCTGGTCCTGTGATTGTATAAATTCGTTCCATAGTATGTACACCAAGGAAATTTGAGGGCCAAAGAAAGAGGTCTTGTGAGGAGATGCCTAAGCATTTTACAGGTGACAGTGCTTCTCCCGCCCAGAATTTGGATGCTTATCTAGGGACCGAAGTTGAGGAATCCTGCCATAAGTTCCTGCTTTGCTTTTCCTTGGGTACCTTTTAAAATAACCACTTAGGGTCAAGCCCTAGAGAAGTTAGTGACCTCCACCCCAAGCTCCTTCAAAGTAATAGGTGCTTGCTACCCTGCTGTCTGTCTCCTGCTCCCTCGTGACCTAGTATGGAGGGCTACCCTTACCCCAGCTTGTTGCCCCCCCCCGCCCCCCGCCCCTGTTGCTGGGAGGTGTAAGTAAAAAATCTTGTGACTTGACTTCCTTTGTGTGAGTGCACTTGACACTACACCTTCCATCAGAACGACCCTGGGGAGCACGGGTGCAGAGGAAGCTACCTGCTGACCCCGTGTGGGTGGCTTGTGTCCCCAGCTCCGCTTCCCAACCAAGTGTTGGTAAATGTAAGATGAAGTCTCTGGAAAGACTCAACAGAGGCAAATTGCTTTATTTATTTATTTTTTTAAAGATTTTTATTTATTTGACAGAGAGATCACAAGTAGAGGGGGCAGCAGAGGGAGAGGGAGAGGGTTAAGCAGGCTCCCCGCTGAGCAGGTTCTCAATCCCAGGACCCTGGGAGCATGCCCTGAGCCGAAGGCAGAAGCTTAACCGACTGAACCACCCAGGCGCCCCGGCAGATTGCTTTAAAAAAAAAAAAAAAAAAAAAATCATTGTCAGTAGGTCCAGGCAAAACTATTAACAACTGATGGGGGACAAACCACAATATGGAAAGATTCTATACTTTGTTGGCTTCACAGATGTTTGTTAAATTCTCACTTCATTTGAAAAAAATCCTAAATTCTTACTTCATGTGAAAGCAGTCAAAGCTGAAAGTTTTAGATAAGACATGATAGGTTTGGTTTATGAAGGGACAGGACAGGAGGCTCGGGACAGCAGACCCATACCCAAAGGAAAGACCTGGGCTTATGTCCAGAGATGAGCGAATGAGTGTGTTGGTTGAGGTGAGACGACCCTGTGTAAGATACACAGGAATCTTTCTACAGTTCTCAGCTTCACCTGACATTTTCTGTTAATTGATTAACAGCTCTGATTATCTCAGATAATGGAGTTCCTACAGTTACAGTTCCAATTCTCAGAGATAAGGAGATTTAAGACAGACATTAATTTGAACCCAAATGAAGGAAGATTTGAACCCAGACCTTTCTCACTTCAAAGTCTGCACACTAGGCCCTCCCCTTACCTGCAGAGGACACGTTCCAGGACCCCCAGTGGATGCATGAATCCCAGATAGGACCAAATCCTGTATTTACTATTTTTTTTCCCTGTAAGTAGCTATACGCAGTTTAACTTATAAATTACGCACAGTAAGAGGTTAACAATAATTACTAATAAAATAGAACAATTATAACAATATGCAATAAAATGAGCAAATGTGGTTTTTCTCTCTCAAAATATCTCATTGTCCTGTACTCACCCTTCTTGTGATGACATTAGATGGTACCATGCCTACGTGATGAGGTGAAGTGAGGTGAATGACGTAAACATGGGAACGTAGCGTTAGGCTGCTCTTGACCTCGTGATGGCATGACAGAAAGAGGATCATCTGCTTCCAAAAGGCCAGGTTGACTGCACAAAGTGAAGCTGTGGCCAAGGTGGGGAGACAACTGTGCATATTCTAAATCAGTACACACCAGCTAAAGTGTCTGGATATTTTAAACATTCAGCAAGTATTTGAACAGATAGAAAGATGAGTAAGCACTGGACCCTGTCATTATGAAATTTATGGTCTTGTAGGAGAGGGAGGCATGTAAATAATTCCTGTTATTATCATATAAAAATTATACAATCTACAAACCTAGATTTTAAGTTTCCTGAACGAACAGGCATTTACCAGGTAGGGAGGGGGTAAGGTTCGAAGCAGAGGGGATAGCTTTTGCACATGTAGGGAGGGAAATGATGGTAGGACACAGCAAAAGTACAAATGGTTCTGTGTCTGAAGGGTGAGGTGGTGGGAGAGTTTGCAAGGGCCAGCTTGTAAAGATCGTCAAGGAGTTTGGACTTGATCTTCTAGAAATATCTGGGGAGCCCCTGAAACGCTTTAATCAGGAGAATGCGTGGCAATGTTGACATGTTAGATCATTCTGGTAGCGGGGAGTAGGTTGTGCAGGCAAAGCCAGAAGATGAACTGCATTAGTCCAGCGGAAAAGTCGAGGCCCTTGGTTGTGACAGCAACAGGTAGGATGAGTTCATACAAGATTTGAGCAAGAAGTGGATGTGGAGTGTGGAGGCCAAGCTTGGGTCTGGGTGGATATGGGTGTATCCAACCACAATGGACACCACCAATGAGAGAGAAGACAAGGATTTCAGCGTCAGACTCCAGTTGGAGTTTCCCGGGGGACCTTCAGATGGAGATGTTCTACACCAGCTAGGTGGCTGGTCTGGCACCGAAGGGAGAAGGTGGGGCTGGAAGTGTATCTGTGGTTGTCAGCATACAGATGGGGGATGAGAGCCGCGGGAGCAGCAAAGGGCTGCTGAGAGCCCAGGAGAAGACCATGGTGTTGGGGGTGGCTGGGAGGAGGATCCAGTGAGAAGGGGCCCACGGGGCTGAGGGAAGATCCTGGAGAGAGTGCCATCAGAGGAGGATGGAAAGAACTCCAAGCACGTTTGCTGGCGGGTGCACACACCCGGCGCCATGAAAGGGAGAACCGAGCCGTGTCCACTGTGTGACCGCGGGTGTTTGTGCGCAACCACCCCCGACTGCAGTGGGCCGAAGGGGTGAGTTTAGGAAATCAAACAGAATACAGGACACTGGGAAACCGTCAGAAGTTTGAAGAGGGGAGGAAAGACAAGATAGTACGAAACTAGGGTAAAAATGGGGCTATTTAGTAGGGTCAGAAACACCTGAGCTTCTTTATGGGCACCTGTATCTAAGGGAGGAGGAGGGACCCAGAGCCCAGACATAGCCAGCTTCCTGTCTCCCCTCCTCCTTTTTTCCTCTCTTTGGGACATATTCTGAGCCCCACTCTGTGTTTTTCTAAAAGTTAA